TTCTTTCTTCTCTCTCATTGGACAAAAATCTGGTAAGAGACCAGGCTTTGGCTAAACAGGACTCTACTGCCTGCCAGGCCTTCTCGATCTCCTCTGGGTGCTTCAGCTTCTCCCGCAAGTGTTGCCAGTCTGCTGCTCGAGCGTAGAGCGCTGCCCAAGCACTCAGGCCACTATATTCCGCTTGCCACCCCATCGCCGTAGTAGGAATCACAGGAACTTCCACAACTTCCACTGCCCAGCCTCGGTGCTGCTCGCTGTCGTTGAAGTCCAGATCGGGATTCCTGTGCGTGCAAAAGCTTTCTGCTGCCAATGCGAACTTCATGTACTGCTGGGCCAAATCGTAGTTAGGCTTGCCACTGCAGTGCCTTTCACCCATGGAGTGGATATTCGCCTGAAGTTTGTTCATGCCTTCTTGGATCTGCGGCTCAACTCTGACTGCATGCCATTCCCAAGGTAAGTCTGGTCCAGGCAAACTCATGTCGATGGCAAGGCAAGGACTGAACACACGCTTGGGCATGGTGAACTCGCCAACTCTGAGCTTGAGCCGAATACCTGAATGCGGTGCCCCCCATGGCCCTTCACTGTCCCATGTGAGGTCCACTAGATTGTGTAGGTGGTGACTTACTAGGCAAAAATCAATGAGCCTGTGTCCACCTGGTACTGCTTCCTGGGGTCCTTTCCATCCTCCTCTGAGGAATACCTGAAGCCCTGATTGTTGCATTTCAGCGATAGTGTTGTTCCAATCTCCAACAATAATGTAAGGCTTACCTTGAACTTTGAGATAGTTGCCAACCTCATCTAGAATCTGAAAGTTAGATCCTGAAATCCCAAGATGTGGGGCCAAATAAACGGCGACGAAAATGATGTCCACCCGCTGCATCCTGACCGTTGTCGCGCACCATTGACTAATCTGATTGATCCCAGTCTGTTCTGTGATGCTTAGGCGGTCCTTCAAGATGAGCGGATCATGCCAAAGATGCTTCCTTGTAAGAATTGCAATGCCTCCATGTCCTTGAATGCCGCCTCCTGCCGTGTCCACCGCAGGAGTAGCGTTGGTTTTCCAGCCAAGCTTCGCCACGTGCTTCGATGTTTGAATAAGCTTGGCATTCCGAAGATGAGTCTCGACAAAGAGTACCACTTTAGCCGTCTCGAGTGGACCACCAGGTTTATTGAAATAATCGAAAGTCTTGTCATTCCAGGAAGTAATGTTCGCGAAATAGAAGTCAAACGAGTCTGACTGGGACACACCCTCCTGCGACGAGGGAGATGATGTTCGCGAGCCTGTGGGCTTTCCTCGGTCGTCTCCAGTGGGTCTCGCTCCGTGGGGGCTGCTGTGCGCCTCGCGCCACGGGGTCACCACCTTCTCAGGCGCGTCAGAGGAAGCCCAAGAGGATGGAGTAGTCGCCCTCGAAGGAAATGTGGCCCAGCGAGTACGTGTGGGCTCACCTCCGAGGTCTCCAGTGGGACTCGCTCCGTGGGGACTGCTATGAGCCGCGCGCCACGGGGTCACCACCTTCTCCGACTCTGGAAGGGATCCCAGGCCTGTTGGCATAGAAGATGGAGTAGCCCTCAACGCTGTCGCCGCAGTACAGCCCCCTGGTATGCCGTATTGTCCATCAAAGACGCTTGTCGACTGTCCCTGGTGGCGGCGATCGGCTTCGAAAGTCGGCCCTCCTGAGCCGCTCCATGCCAGCCTGGATGAAACGTTCACGCTGCTGCTCCTGACTGTCGAGACTTGGATCATCAGCCCGAGCAGACACAGCAGCCATGCCAACGTCTTGGGAGGTCGGCTGGCCTGCTTCCACAGGCGCCTGGGCCTGCGAAAAAGGTGCGACGGTGCCTCCTGTGGCTGCTGCAGGGGTTCCTGCTCCCTCTGCGGCGCCAGCGATCGGAGGGACTCCCGATGCCGCACTGGCTGGCTGAGAGCCCATGGCCGAGAAAGCCGCTCCAAGCGTGGATTTGAACTGCCCCACACTCTCTTCGAGCTTCTTCTTCCTCGCCTCAACCCCGTCTGCACTTGCCAGCCCTTCGGCGAAGGAAGCCAAGAACTGAGTGAGCTGCTCGTCCATGCCCTGGATGGCCGCCTGCGCCTGCGCCGATGGGCTGCCCACCAAGGCCTTGGCTGCCTCAGCCTTGGCCGTCTCGAGCTGGGCCTTGGTCTCCAAGAGCTGTGTCTGAGTTTCGCCCACTGCCTGGAGTGCCCGCCGAGCTGCCTCGAGCTGTCGTTCTTCTTTCCGTTGCAATTCGACAAGCTTGTGTTGAAGAGACTGAACGCCCTTAGGAACCTCAACTCCGAAAGGAATCCCTTGCCCTGCAGCCTTGAGCCTCCTCGCATGAATGAGCTTGTCCCGCTGACTTTGAGAGAGTCGGACCGACAATGAGAAGAAAGTGCTCTCGTCCATGCCGATCCAATGTGCCTTTTCTTCGTCGGTAAGTGGTTGTGTGTCACCCCACCCTTGCCTAGACTGAGCCCAACCTTCTTGACTGCCTTGCTGGACCCATGGAGAGCGGAGAAAGCGACGCGGCTTCTGTGCCATCCACGGGGGAGGTCCACCATGCGGCGGGCTCGGCGGCGTGGGAGGCGGGCCGTATCCCCACTGTCCCCTTGGCTGTGGTGGCGTCGCCGCTTGCGGTTGCCTCCCATTGGGATTGAAGGCTCCACACCCGTAGCACTTGGCGCGGGTGCCATTGTTCCACGCGTGACAAGAGCGACAGCCCCAGCCTGGCATGGATGAAATGTACGTGTGCAAGAGGCCGCAGCCGTGAGGGATGAACCCTCAATACGGTAGCGGACTCCTTGAGACCGATGAAAGTTGATGGGGCCGTGACTCCCCTTGCCACAAAAACTCAGTCCTCTTGAGCAATGCCTCCGGACTTGAGCCAAAATGGCTACGGACTGCTCCTCCTCCTCCTCCTCCTCCTTCTCCTCCTCCTCCCCTCCCCTCCTCCTTCCTCCTCCTCCCTCCTCCTCTCTCCTCCTCCTCCTCCGCCTCCTTCCTCCTCCTCCCCTTCCTCTCCTCCCTCCTCCTCCTTCCTTCCTCCCTCCTCCTCCTCCTCCTCCTCCCTTCTCCTCCTCCTCCTTATCCTTATCATTATCATTATCATTATCATTATCATTATCCTTATCCTTATCCTTATCCTTATCCTTATCCTTATCCTTATCCTTATCCTCATCCTTATCCTTATCCTTATCCGTATCATTATCCTTATCCTTATCATTATCCTTATCCTTATCCTTATCCTTATCCTTATCTTTCTCATTATCATTATCCTTATCCGTATCCTTATCCTTATCCTTATCCTTATCCTTATCCTTATCAGTATCCTTATCCTTATCATTTTCCTTATCCTTATCCTTATCCTTATCCTTATCTTTATCATTATCCTTATCATTATCCTTATCCTTATCCTTATCATTATCCTTATCCTTATCCGTATCCTTATCCATATCCTTATCCTTATCCTTATCCTTATCCTTATCCTTATCCTTATCCTTATCCTTATCCTTATCCTTATCCTTATCCTCTTCCTCCTACTCCTCCTCCTCCTCCTCCTTCTCCCTGTCGCACCCCGAGGCCAGTTTTTGGGTCGGGCCGGGCGTTTCGCCTGAGACTTCTTCACCACTTATGACTCTGAAGCTGAAAAAGTGGCAACAGTTTCACACATGGAGGGCGGGCGGTTTTCAAAATGTAGCTCTCGCCTTAGCGCCGCGCGCACTCGTCTTAAGCCTTTGCAAGAGCTTCACGGAATGAGGGCGGGTGGTTTTCAACTTGTGGTTCTCGCCTTAGCGCCGCGCACACTCCTTTTAAACAATTGCAACTGTTTCACGGATTGAGGGCGGGCCGTTTTCAAAATGTGGCTCTCGCCTTAGCGCAGCGCGCACTCGTTTAAAACATTCGCAAGAGTTTCACTGATTGAGGGCGGGTCGTTTGCAACATGTGGCTCTCGCCTCAGCGCCGCGCGCATTCGTTGAAAACATTGCAAGAGCTTCGCGGATTGAGGGCGGGTCGTTTTCAACATGTGGTTCTCGCGTTAGCGCCGCGCGCATTCGTTTCTAACATTTGTAAGAGTTTCACAGGTTCCCGTGACCAGCGTACTAGCAATGGTGTTTTGGAAGGATTGCGGATTATATGGGTGCAACAGTCATATTGATTCGCGGTGTTAAAGTCCCCCAAATTGCGTTTTGGCGCCATTCAGGATCGTCAAGACGCAGTCGTCGAGTTGATCCGTGGGGTTGAAATCCCGAAAACATTGTGTTGGCATGATTCAGGGTCTTCAAACGGTTGTCTTCCAACGAGGTAGTTCCCTCAATGGAAATGAAACGCTGTATTGGGGCCTATGAAGGGGAAGCTTGGAGGGAGGGTTTATTCCAACATCGTTGATGACGCTTGGATTTATACTGGTCCTCCTCCTCCTCCACCTCCTCCCTCCTTCCTCCTCCCTCCTCCCTCCTCCCTCCTCCCTCCTCCCTCCCTCCCTCATCCCTCCTCCCTCTCTCCTTCCTCCTCCCTCCTCCCTCCCCCCTCCTCCCTCCCCCTTCACCCCTGCCTCCTCCCTCCTCCTCCTCTCCTCCCCTCCCTCCACCCTCCCTCCACCCTTCCCTCCCTCCTCCTTCCTCCCTCTCCCTCCTACTCCCCCACATCCTCCCTCCCTGCTCCCTCCTCCCCCCTTCCTCCGTCCTCCCTCCACCTCCCTTCTCCTACCTCCCTCCTACCTCCCTCCTCCCTCCTCCTTCTCATGCTCCTCCTCTTCCTCCTTTTCCTCTTCCTGCTCCTCTTCTCCTCCTTCCTCCTCCTCCTCCTCCTCTTCCTCGGCTCGACTCGATGCGAGCATCAGGCTCGATCTCAACCCTGCCCTCTCCCCCTCCCCCGCTGTCGGGGCTGGGCGTGAACAAATCCAGGGATAGCAAAATGTAGAGCTGGGGGTGCGCCATGCGAGGCCCACTGGATGAATCACTAAGCCCAGACTGCCGCGGGAGGGCCAGACGACCACGGCGCGAGAACGCCCTCTGGCCTCGGCGAGACGCAGTGGCGCCTCGGCCTCAGCGAGTACGCCAAGGCATGGGCGGGCTGATGCCGGCATCGGACATCGGAAGTCGGCGCTCCACTCCACGCTCACAGGGGGGCGGAGGGAGGGAAGGCTCGTAGGAGGAAAAGATACCGACACCGCTGCTCGTCCCGGAGAGTCCTCGTCGCCACGGCTGGATCCTCCTCGAACTTTTGGTCAGAATGCACCCCGCGAGAGGCCCGGGGAGTGGCGGTATCGGAGTTCCCTTTGTGTCCCGTCCGTGGAGGAGCAGGCTCCGATACCGCTGCCCTTCCCTCGTTTTCAACCTTTGGGCCTCCCGTGAGGCCCTGTCGCCACAGCTGGGTTCGCTCTGGAGCCCTTGTCGGAAAGCGCACCTGGAGAGGTCTGGGGAGTGGCGGTATCGACTCCTTCTGGATTTCCCAATCGGAAGTCGGCGCTTCGACCAGAGCTCAGAGGGGAAGGGAGGGAGGGAGGGCGGGCAATTCAGGATGACCCCCTGTCGTGGGAAGCCGTCGGGGTGCCCCGGGGCCGAGGCGAGGGAGGGAGGGGGAGAGGGGGGGAGGAGGGACGGAGGGAGGGTGAAAGCGTGGTGATGGGGGCGAGCGGGGCAGCGAGGGGGGGGTAGGGAATTGAGAGGAGAGAGTAGAGAGTAGAGAGGAGGGAGGGAGGGCGGGAGGGAGGGAAGGAGGGACGGAGGGCGAGCGAGACGATGGCAGGGAAGGGGTAGCACTAGGAGTAGGAGCCTGTGGCGACGCCAGTTATGATCACACTCTACACCTCGTGGCACGGCTGGACAGG